GCCGCGTGGCCCTCACCGTGGCCTCTTGCCCTGCCCTGCCCTGTCCTCCCCTGCGTGGGTGCTGGCCAGGGCCGGCACCGGTGTGTGCCGGGGCACGGGTGGGAGCAGGCGCGGGGCTGAGCCGGGTCCTCGGGCCAGCAGCATCGAGCACATGATCTGTTGTGGCAGCTTCCCTGCAGCCTGGAGCCAGCCCCGAGCGAGCACTGATGATGGCTTTAATTGCTTTCAGATTCGATAGCCCAACCCGTGACAGCCCGGGCGACGTGGCCGCCGCAGCCCCAGCTGTGCCAGCCGGCTCTGGCCCCCGGTGCAGCGGCCTGCCCACCCGCCTTCGGATGGAGAGGTCGGGCAGGAGGACGAGAGGAGCCGCTCTGGATCACGGCTTTCCTTTTACATCCCGGCAAAGTCTTCCCCATGGCCTGCCCACGCTCATGGTCCAGATGGGGCGAGCGCCTGTGTCATCTCCTGAACTTCATCCCTGGGGAAACCCAGCTGGGGGACAGACAGCACAGTCGTCATCCCCCAGGATGCCATTGCAGCCCTGCTATGAAGCCACCTGGCCATGTGCCACCGTGACCCCCCCCAGGTGAGGACCCCACAGCAGCTCCCCTCCGCTCAGCTCTGCCATACCCCATTCGAGGTGGGGGGGAGACATTGGAGGGCTCCCGTCACCCATCAGGGCTGGGAAGGGGGGGGGGGGGTGGGGGTGGTCCATGATGCAGCAGGGGCCCAGGCTGGCCCTCTGTGGTGGCTGTGTGCCCCCCCTCCGCCCCCGCTGCCTGCATGGCCATGTCGGGGGGCCGGGGGGCTGTCCCCAGGGCTGACCCAGACCTCGGGGGTTCTCCCCCACCTGAAGGTCCAACTGGCCCCAAGCATCAGGTCCTCACCCTGCTGGGTGGTGGCTGTGTGGGGAGCTGGGGCTCTCCAAGGTGGGGGGGGCAAAGGGCTGCTCAGCACCCACAGTGGCACCCGTGGGCTGGCCCTGATCCTCTGCTGCCTGCACCTACATCCTCCTTCTTCCCCCCCCAGCCCCGCTGCCAGACCCCAAGCTGCCTCCCCCGGCTCCAACCCAGACCAAGTCAGCGCAGGCAGCTGCTGGCGATCTCTCCAATGGCTCCTTGCCTGCCAGGCAGCGGGGCGTGCTCGAGGGGAGCAGGATGAGCACCCCGGCACCCAGAGCTCACCCCTGCAAACATGGAGTCCCACCCTGAGCCACCATCCTGGCACATGGTGATGGTGCCGGCCCGGCCATTCGTCCTTGCTGAGTGGGACCGGCCAGGAGCCCTGGCCCCAGCAGCACCCGCTCCCTCTGGGGGGGCTGCCAGGGTGGGCATGGGGTTTCCTTGCTGGCAGCCCCCCCAAAACCCCGTCCTGGTGTCTGCAAGTTGAGCAGCAGCAGGCAGCCGCTGCCGCATGCGAAGGTGATGGCTCCTCCATCGCTCGCCAGCTCCTGGCAGAGCATCCGACTCAGCCGAGGATGATGATGAGGGGGCCGGGGGGGGGTGTGTGGATGGGGGGGTGCAGAGCCTCCTGCTCGGCTGAGCCGGGGCGGTTACTCACATCCCCGATCCATTATTGCGGGCAGTGCCGGCGGGCAGTCCGGGGCAGGGACTGCATTATTGACGAAGGGGAAGGCAGACCCCAGCGCAGGCAGCAGTGGTGCAGGCAGGGCCCCCTCCCGCAGCACTCAGCCCCGGGCAAAGCACTTTGCCTGCGCCGCAGAGCCGCAGAGCAGGCAGGCCTGGCCGCAGGCAGCCGGCCTGGCAGCCGCAGCCACCGCAGAGCATTTCGGCAGCGGCCTGTTCCTGCGGCTCCAAAACATCCTCCTTGCCCGGGATGATGCTGGGCTCAGGGCACCCATGAGCACACCCTGGGGAGGGTGGCACGGGTGGGCAGCGATGCTCTTGCAAATCTTGCTCTGGCACCAGCGCTGCAGCTCTGCCCCCCTCCAGCCCGACGCAGCGCTGGTGCTGCTCTTTTTTAAGCCTCCTTCTGTCTCTAGGCGGAGATTTGTGGCGTAAAATGCACAATATGTTCTATCTGCCCTGTGGGAGCCATAAAATATTCACCAGCAGCTCCCATTATAGTCAGAGTGAATCACGGAGAGCGCTCGAGCCCTTGCTTCCCGACGTGCCCCGTCCCCGTGCAGCCCCGGCACAGCCACGGGGCACCGGCAGTGCCGGTGCCAGGGCCTGACGAGCCGCCAGCACCCGCCTGGATCCCGCAGCAAGGACCCACGTTTCCACCTCTGGCCCTGGGAGACACCCACAGGCTTGGTGGGTCGAGGGGTGGTGAGCACGCCAATGGGACGGCAAACGCCTTTGCCTGTCCGAGCATCCTCATGGCTGCCCAGGGACGAGCAGCATCAACCCTGCACGTGGAGGGGACCAGAGCAATGGGCAGCGGGAGCGGCAGGCAGCGTGGTGGGCTCACGTGCCCACAGCAGCTTGCCCCACCAAGCGTGACCTGGCGTCCCCGGGGTGACTTGTGCCATCACTTGGCTTTTTGTAGCCACAGCCCCTTGATTGGGGTCTTACAGCCATGTCAGGGTCTGGCAGGACAGCCCCTGCCTGCTTGCTGCCTTCATTGCCACACACGTGCTCCAGCCTCTCTGCTGCTCGTACGGGTGGGTACAACAGCACTCTCCCTCCATCTCCCCCCCGTCCTGCTGTCCGTGCTTCTGTCCTTCCTTCCCTTCTGACCCACGGCTCTCACTGTCCATCCCCATCTCCCCCTTCAGACCTCAGGCTTAAGGCGCGACGGGGTCAAGGGATGACGAATTTACTGATGAAGCAACACAGTACTCTGAAGCTGATGTGTCAAATACCATTTTATCTTTTGACACACAGTTATATGTAATTATAAAGCAGTTAATGCTGGTTCAACCCTTATGAATCACGCACAATTACAATTTGATTTCATCTCCGTTCCTTCCGTGGCCACACCACTGCTCTCAGCCCAGTCGGTGATGCTGGGGGTGTCCTGAGGGCTCCCTGCAGCGTCCCAGTGGCTCAGGGCCACGGGCAGCATCGCTGCCATCCAGGCGCCTGCTCCTGGGAGATGCTGTCCCCTCCACGCACCAGCCCACCCGGTGCCCAAGTGTCTGCAGCTGCACTGGGTGCTGCCTTGCCAAGCGCCCGGCTTGGCAGGATTTGCCCTTGGCACGTTGGCTGGGCTCGCCGAGCCGTGGCCCTGGAGAGCCGTGGCCCGTGGGGAAGGCAGGATGCGGTTGCCCGCCTGGGCTGGCCACGCAGCCACCATCATGACGAGGGCCACCACCAGGCCACTGGGCTGAGAAGTCCAAGTGCGTCCTTGGCATTGAGCAGCACAGAGCCGGGTTGGGGGGCGGAACCCCGTTCACGCGTGGGGGCACCCCCGTGGTGGCAACGGGCAGCGGTTTTAGCCCCACAACTCACCCCGCATCCCCGGGAGGGACCGGGCAGGGCCCACGCAGGCAGCCTGCCCGCAGAGGCGAGGGCAAGGGGCTGCGCGGCCGTGAGGGTTAAACCCTGCCTCTGCCGACATGTTTCTTCTCCCTGAACAGACTGAGGGGAGAGGAGGGGAGGGCGGCAGTGCCCTCCCCGCCAAAATTAACTCTCCATCTGTTTCTCCCCGGCTGAGGCTGATGGCTTGTGACAGGGCCTCCTGAATGCAAAGATGTTTCGCCCGGAAAAATCTATTACAAGTTGCTGTAAGAAAGACCGAAATCCTCTCCTTCTGTCTCTCCCTACTGGTCTCAAGGTGCCCACCCCGGGCGAGAGCGGGCTGGCACGCAGCCGGCCGCCTCCGCTCAGCCGGAAAGCTCTCCCCAGCGCCAGCCTGCCTCGCCCCCGGCCCAAACGGGGAGGCGGGAGGGAGGATGGGTGCTGCCCCGGGTGGTGGTGAGGATGGAGAAGCTGCTCCTTCGTCCCCAACCCGAGCACGGTGTCGGCGATGCACCGAGCACGGCCCAGGAGCCGTCACACCTCTCGGCCATCCCGGAGCCCGTCGTGATGCGGATGGGGAAACTGAGGCAGGAGGTGCCCTGTCCACCGGCTGATGCTCGACCCTGGCCGGGACCTGGAGTCTCACGCCGGCCCCGGTACCCAGGCCGAGCCCCGGAGCCGCAGCCCCGGCCGGGCGGCAGCAGCGGGCAGGCAGCGGCTGCCCTCTCCCGGCCGCAACGCAGCCCTGCTCGGCCCTGGGAGAGGGCAGCCGCCGCTCGGTTTACAGGAGTTTCTGGATTTTGCTTTATTTTCGCCCCTTTCTGCACCGCTGCGCGGCCCTTCCCGCCCCCCCGCGCCCCGAAGCGCAGCTAAAGAAACCTGAAACTCAAATTCAGCCTTTTTTTTGTGCTCAGCTCTACTTTCAGGGCACCAAGGGATGCCCACCACTCCGTAGAAATGGCTTCAACTCTTCGCTTGCACCCCAAAATCTTCCAGCCGAGTGCCGGCCGGCACCCCTTCCCCACTGTCCTGTCCCCCCGTCCCCCCCGGTGCCACAGCCCAGCACAGCAAAACCAGGCAGCTTCAGTAAAAAACAAAACTTTATTTGGTCCATCAGAACCTGAGTTTGAAAACCACCCATGGATAATTCGTATCATACAGGGATTACGGATCTGATTTACAATTGATAAAATATCCTATGTTTCTTAAGAGCTGGACAGTATTTACAGGGTTAAAAATATTCACAGCTCAGAAAGACAGAGAGAGGAAAAAAAAAAGTGAAGGACAAATCATCCCGAGGAGGAGGAAGGAGCAGGGAAGAGAAAACAGATCAACAAACAAAAATACGGACAGAGCTTGGCTCAGCAGCCCCGGCCAAGGGGGCCAGGAAGGTGTAAGGGCAGCCCACCCCCCCGCCCACCCCGTGGGGACACAGAGGGACACGCTGGGCAAACCCCACACCCCGCAACTCCCCCTGCCCAGCCCGGCGCAGGGTTTGGGGCGCAGGCTGCCCTCCAGCATGGTCCCTGCCAGAACGGGGCCCAGCATCTCCCACCCACCCCACTCCCCGAGCTGCACGTCTACACAGCTTGGGAAGGAGAGGGTAACACCGGGGGACCCCCAAAACACACACACACACACACACGTACACACACACACACACACACACACGCCCGCACCAAGCCTGAGAGCCACGACGTCCTGAAACCGTGGGGGTCAGTCCCCGCCACGGAGCACCCGCTGGGGCCAGCGGCACCCCGAGGCTCTTGCAAGCCTTCGCCTTGTGCTCACTACCTTCCACAGGACTTGGCCTCTGAAGGATGGGGGGTCTCTGCTTCCCCCCACAAAATCAGGCCCCCCACCCCCAGCACATGGCAACATGGTAAAGCCGAACCCCGGGTCCGTACCTGCTGCCCTTCACCCCTCACCTCCACAGGGCACGGGGAGGGGGGAGGCCCCCACAGGGCAGTGCCGGGGGGGGCTGAGCCCAGCTCGGGACGCATGGCTTCTCTCCAGGCACTGCTTTCAGCGGCCGCCTTTGCATAGTAACACTTGTGTGATGAGTTGAGGGGGGGTCTCTGAGCATCACCCCGTGGCCCCGCTCCCCACCCCGGAGCAGCGGTAGAGGAGGGCACCTCTGCATTTCACCCCGAGGCGCGGTGAAAACCCCACAGTGGCAGCTTTCCAAAACAACCCAGCACCCTCTCCTCCCCAGACCCGGCACCTGGGACAGGCGAGGTGGATGGGGGTCTAGGCACCGCAGCAGATCCTTGCCACGAGCAGCCAGCACAGGCGGCACCACGGCAGTGACCCTGGCACCCCCCGACCCAGCTACGGTACCTCGGTGCCATGTTGGTCCTGGCAGCAGACAATGAGGGGAACAAGACAGTGGGAAGAGCCAGGGACAGACGGAGGGTCACACAGACGGACAGACGTCAGAGGTATATTCTTTTTTTTTGCAGCGCCAGGGCCCTGGCGCTGCGGGAGGGGGCAGAGTCCTGAGCGTGGTGCCTGGGAAGGGCCTTGACAGCAACCTCCAGCCCCCCCCCCATCTCCAGCAGCCCCCCGCTGCATGCCCTGGGCAGGCCGAGGGCACCGGGCCCCAGCGCAGGTATGGGGCAGGTGGGATCCTGAGATGGCCCCGTGGCCCCAGCCGCTCCTCATAAAGTGCGTGGGGGGCCAGCGGTGCCAGGGCGGGGGGCAGCGGGCAGAGCTGTTCCTGGCCCTGAGAGTTCGCCCCAGCCCTGCATCGCAGGGCAAAGTGCTGGGTGTGATGCTCCGGCTCCGTCCCACGGCTCAGCGCTGACAGCTCAGGGGGCCACCCCAGGCCAGAGACTCGGTGAAAATAAGGGGGGAGCGGAGCAGGGAGGGGGAGGCGCTTCGTCATAGGGGCCGGGGGCCGTGGAGCCCGGCGACCTCGGGCGTCAGCAGCGGGTTGTGGGTGCCCTTCGTCGACATCCAGTCATTGAGGAAGGCCTGGGTGGCTTTGCGGTGCGCCAGGCGGTGGGTGATAGAGAAGCCGGCGTTACCCTCCAGCTGGGAGAGGATCACCAACACCTGCCTGCGAAGAGAGGAATGGACTCAGGGCCAGGCAGCTGCCTCTGCCCTGGCAATCCCATCCCCTGCCTGTCACCCCAGTGCCCACACCTCCCTGCCAACCCCAGGCTCTGCCTTGCTCCAAGCCTCCTGCCAGCACCTGCCTGCCCTCGCTGTGCAGCCCCCTGCCGACCCACCCCTGCCTACCCCGGACCTGTGCAGGGGGGGAACGCTGTCCTGCGTTTTGAGGCTGCCACGTGTGGAGACGACGTTGAAGCTGTCGGTGCAGTCGCACTGGACGTGCAGGTAGGACTTGGGGTGCCGGTTCTCCACCACCACAATGAGCCCTGCCCAGCCGTGTGTCAAGTAGTAGCAGGTCATCCCCTCGCGGCCCTGGGGCAAACAGCAGGGTCAGGGGTGTGAAGCCTCCGGGCACCCGTCTCCAAATCCCAGCCACTGGACCAGCATCTTCCACCTCCAGCCAAGGGCTGCCCATCTGCTGGGGTACCCCATGCTGCCCCAAGGAGCAAAGGGGGTGGGCATCCATGGAGTAGGAGTGGACTAGGTGGCAGCGAGCTCTGGCACAGCCTTGCCCGACTCCTGCCAGACTGAGGACACAGCAGAGGCAGGGTCCAGGCTCCTGCTGGCAGCATCACCCCCCTCCCCAGCGCAGCCACAGGGAGGCCAGCCCCTGCCTTGTGCCATCCACACCCACCTCATGGCGCTCGCCCTTGTTCTCGGTCAGCAGGATGATGGCATCCGCCAGCGTGGTGGGCTGCGCCTCCACCTGCTCCACCATCACCAGGCGGGAGCTGTAGATGGCCAGGATATAGCTGGAATAATCAGTGACTGGCCGGCTGCTGGTGGGACTGGATGCTGTGGAGACACACGGAGGAAGGGGGGGGATCAGTGAGACTGTCACCAAGCCCACAACCCTCAGGAGCAGGGTGCTGCTGGGTTACTGCACGTGCAGGTAACCTCCACCCCCAGCAAGGTCCCCACGGTGAAGATCAAGGGCTTTGCCACCTCTGCCTCCCCCAAGGTCTCTGCCAGCATCACTGTGGGGAGGGCAGCCCAGCCCCTTACCCTGGGCAGCAGCAGGGCCTGCCAGGGCGACGCTCCAGTGGTTGAAGGCACAGCACACGACAGCGTACTCGCCCGGCTCCAGCATGACGTCGCAGTTGACGAACTTCTTGACAGCTCGTTTGCTGTGAGCCATCAGTCGGCCCAGGCTCAGCTTGTTTCCGCTGGTGAAGGTGGCCCGGAAAACCATGATGCACAGATCCAGCAAGTGACTGTCCACCGTGTCCGACCGCCTGTGCCGGGAGGGGGAGAAGGGTCACACGTCACCCAAGCGCTGCCCCGCAAAGCACATGGAGGCCACGGGCAGGATGGCAAATCCAGAGGAAGAGTCCTCCCATTGCCCCAAGTATCCAGCCCCAGGAACCAGCGCACATTCAGGGCTTGGGTTTCATCTAAAACACGAGCAGACCCCGAGAATTGGAGAAATGGTGTTGGGGTCCCATCCCTGAGCTCTGTGACCCCATGGCATGGCATAGGACGAGAAGGCGATGTGTTTGGGATTCCTCTTGGGTCTGGGTCACTGCCTGCAGCCTGTGCACTGCCCAGCTCACCTGCTGCCCTCCTGGAAGAGGGCAAACTCCAGGGCGGCACGCTCCAACACTGTCAGCGATGTCACCGTCACCGGCCCGTTGGCCTTGTTGGGGAACATGCCCTGCACACGCACCTCGTGCCAGTCCGAATGGAGCTTGCAGATATCCACGGAGTCAAAGTACCTGTGGGGAAGCTGGGCTCAGCCCTGGCGGCGTCCTCTGTGGGTACACTGCTCTGCCCCCACACCCCAGCATGCTGCAGCTCATGCAGCTCGGAACAGCAGGCACCGGCAGGTCACCCACACCCGCCCCGGGGATGCCCGGTCCTGCTTGCCCCATCTTGAGCCCTATGTCCCATTTTGTGTCCCCTGCCTGGCTTCCCCCCCCACAGCCTCTGCCTCCTGGGCGCTACCGTACTTAATGAAATCGCTGTACTCCATCCAGAAGACACCCTCGCTGCTGCCATGGGGCATCAGATCGTGACGCAAGGGAGCCGGCCAGTGTGGCCACTCATCGGACCAGTTGCCATTCCAGGAGAAGCGGCCCCAGGGGTTTCGGAGCCGCAGTAACCTGGGGGAAGGGGAAAAAGGGTGTCAGAGGCCCAGAAGGAAGGGGAGCACAAGGAAGGTCACCTCTGAGATGCTCTCCCAGCTCCATAGACCCAGCCAGCCCCCCGCAGAGGGCAGCATGTCACTTCTGCCTCTATCTTTCAAAGCCCTCACAACATCCTAGACCTAATTTGCCACCCCCACTGTGGCCCCAGATGCCCTCGTCCTGCAGCACCGGACATGCTTCAGCTCCCTCTGCCCTTCCTTGCCCAAAGGCCCTCCAGCCAGGCACTGCAGGGAAAGGGCTCAGCAGGGAAGAGGCTGCCAAGTGTGACATGGCTGAAAACAGGGCATACAGCACCCAGGCTGTCAGAGGCAGCACCCATTTCTATCCCCCCCCCCCAAAGGGGAGAAGGATGCTCTCACTGCCTCATTGAGTTGAAAGAGCTCAACTCAATCCTCTGTGTCTTGTGAGACCAGGTGAACCATTCTGCACCACAGGGCATCCTGGAGCAGAGCAGCCCTGGACGTGGAGCCAGTGCCAGGCAAGCACAGCTTATACAACAGCAGCATTTATGTGACACCCTGGGATGGAGAAACAGCCCTTGCTGGCCATGAGGATAGAACACTGAAGAGTCCCTGAGGTCTTGTCTAGCATGCACTCAGTTATCTGTCCCCAGGGTTTCTGCTCAGGCTGTTGGCAGGAATGTCTCTTGTACCACACCAGCCTCCACCCTGAACTCACCTGAAGCCTTGGACATCCCGCACATCTAGGATGGAGTAGGCATGCCGTGGACGCAGACCCATACTCTCATAGGCCACATCGTCCACTTTCATGTTGCCTCCGCCACAGGATGCGCCCATGAGGAACCTGCACAGGGGACAGCAAAACCCTCGGTGTCCTGCCAGGCCTGGTATGGGGGAGAAGCTCATCCCTACCGCTCGAGGCATGGGACAGACTCACCCCCAAGGAGGCTCCTGGATATTTCCTCTCTGCAGCAACGCTGTAAACCTCCCTAGAGCAGTGCCCCAGCCCCACTGGCCAAAGCTCTGCCTGGGCAGCAGTGAGCTCCCTCCACCTGCTCGTATGCATGCTTGAGCCCAGGCTCCGTGGCGAGCTTCTCTGAGCAGTACCCTCACCTGCAGGGTTGAAAGCTCTGTCCATGCACAGTGGAGCTTTGCCCAAACCTCACCTGTTTTCTACCAGGCCCTGAGGTCCTGCCCATCTCTGATGGCTGGCAGGGCTCAGCCACACAGAAAGGCAAGCGGCACGTCTGCCTCCACTTTGCAGGCAGCTGGCCCATTCTGCAGGGGTGAGGACAGGCTATTCGGGGCGGGAAGTCTGCACCAGCCAGGCTTGGGGGACACCACATGCTGGGACCTATCAGCCTCCCATGTGGCCCTGTACCACAGGCTGGCAGGAGCAACCCTGCCTTCAGCCAGCCTAACTGCCCTCCTGCTCCTCCGGCCGGAGTGATAAGAGGTCTTTGCTTTTGCTTTGTCTCCTGTAGACTGCTTATAGTCATGCCCAGGTATGGCCAGCAAAGACGCCACGTACGGGTGGGAGACACGTGCAGGGTCAAGCATTTAACAATACAAAAAAAAGCAAAGCAAGCGGGCTCAATGCCAGCCACCTCAGAACTCCTGCAAGACAGCAGTAAACGTGCACAGGGAAGTTCACCAGGATTTTAATTTCATATGAAAATTAAACAAAGGAGAAATAATTTCTTAGAGCTTAGAGGAGAAGCTCTACCAATGCTCCAGATGGGTGCCAAGGGTGGTGGACTCCACCCTAGGTAATGTACTAGCCCCTCTCCTCTGAGCCTCTACAAATGAGAGTGCCCCCCTCCGCCCCCCGAGTGTCCATGCTCCTGCCACGGCACCCTCCTGCCTCGTCTTACCCAGCTTCCTTAGAACTCAGCATTTTGGCCCAGATGAGGTCAGTGTCAATGGGCTCCTCGCGAGGGTTAGTGGAGCTGACCTGCAGCATCAGGCTCTCGCAGGGGGCACCCGTTAGTGTAGCCAGGCCTTCAATAGCACGCCCCGCCTGGAGGGCAAAGTACGAACCATGAAGCTTGGCCAGCGCCTTCTCAATGAGGGCAACCCACAACTGCTTCCTCTGGGCCTGCAGAAAGAGGAAGAAATGTGTCACAAGCCACCCTGGGCAGGAGATGGGAAAGCAAAGGCAGCACGCGCAGACAAGGCAAAGCCCCTCTCAGCCACCCCTGCGATGGAGATGGAGAGGCAGGAGCAGCAAGGCCAAGCCACCAGGACCTTGCCTGCATGAGCCCAAGGGTGACCCCGTTCGCTACCTGCTCAGTGCTTTGTTTGCACAGTTTAATTCCCCTTGGGAAAACGTCCTGGAATCAATGCCCAAGAGGCCTGGATGCCGACAGAGCTGCACCCTGGGGTGCCCAGGTAGTCAGGCTGGCAGGAGTGGGTGTCCCCCTCACAAGCTAACAGTCCCTTCTGCTTCAACCTGGATTTAAAAAGGTTTGATAATGGAAGAGGATATCGAGCACATCCGGAGCAGCTGCCTTTCACTCACATGCCATTGCAAACCAAAACCAACACACCTTTGGCAGAGCAGGCTGCCTAGAGCACACATGGCCATGGGACCGATCAGATTTCACCCATGGAACAGAGACACTGTTTCAAGGACAAGCTGCAAAAACTCCCAGGCAGACGGGCAAAGTCCTTGTATTGGCTTTGTGTGGCAAGGTTTTTGGTAGCTGGGGGTGGGGTGGGGTTACAGGGGTGGCTTCTGTAAGAAGCTGCTGGAAGCTTCCCCTGTGACCAACAGAGCCAATATCAGCTGGCTCCAAGACGGACCCACCACCAGCCAAGGCTAAGCCCATCAGCAATAGTGGTAATGCCTCTGTGATAACATTTTTAAGAAGGAAAAAAGTTGCTGGGATGGACAGAAATGGCAGCCAGAGAGAGGAGTGAGAACATGTAAGAGAAACAACCCTGCAGACACCAAGGTCAGTGAAGGAGGGGGAGGAGATGCTCCAGGCGCCGGAGCAGAGATTCCCCCGCAGCCTGTGGTGAAGACCATGGTGAGGCAGGTTGTCCCCCTGCAGCCCATGGAGGTCCACGGTGGAGCAGATCTCCACCTGCAGCCCATGGAGGACCCCACGCTGGAGCTGGTGGGTGCCCGAAGGAGGCTGTGACCCCAAGGGAAGCCCACGCTGGAGCAGGGTCCTGGCAGGACCTGTGGAGAGAGGAGCCCATGGAGCAGGTTTTCTGGCAGGACTTGTGACCCCGTGGGGGACCCACACTGGAGCAGTGTGCTCCTGAAGGGCTGCATGTCATAGAAGGGACCCATGCTGGAGCAGTTCGTGAAGAACTGCAGCCCGTGGGAAGGACCCACGTTGGAGAAGTTCGTGGAGAACTGTCTCCCATGGGAGGGACCCCACGCTGGAGCAGGGGAAGAGTGTGACGAGTCCTGCCCCTGAGGATGATGAAGCAGCAGAAATAACATGTGATGAACTGACCGTAAACCCCATTCCCCGTCCCCCTGCACTGCTGGGGGGCGGGTAGGTAGAGAATCCGGGAGTGAAGTTGTGCCCGGGAAGAAGGGAGGGGTGGAGGGAAGGTGTTTTGAGATTTGGTTTAATTTCTTATTACCCTACTCTGGTTGACTGGTAATAAATTGAGTTAATTTTCCCCAAGTTGAGTCTGTTTTGCCCATGTCAGTAATTGGTGAGTGATCTCTCCTGTCCTTATCTCGATCCACAGGCCCTTTGTTATATTTTCTCTCCCCTGTCCAGCTGAGGATGGGGGAGTGATAGAATGGCTTTGGTGAGCACCTGGCGTCCAGCCAGGGTGAACCCACCACAGTCCTCTACTCCAGCACAGGGACAGGGGCAAGATGTAATAACAAGATGCAAGTTTTGCAGGGGGGAAACTCTCCCTGGAGTCCCTTTGCTCTGGTGCCAGGCTATCACTCTTGGGATCACTAGGCTGATTACAGATTCAGAAAGAAATGCAGAAGCTGCATTAATGCACCCAGAGGTTTGCAAAGCCTCTATCGGCCACAGCAGTGCAGGCTCAGGGCGCAGCCTTTACCACTATGTCCAAGTCACTGATACAGTTCCTCAGCATGCCGCAGGGTGCAGTCACCAGCCGTGCTTTACCTCTTGTCCTGGGCATGTTGAGGCTGGGGGGTAGCAGCAAGGACGCGAAGAGGAAGGTGTATGAGGACAGAAGGTAGGGAGACATTTGCTGCCCTCTGTGTCCCCAGCAAATTGGGTTCAGTACCTGTGCTTGGAGGGCAGCAGGGGAAAAGCACTGGTACACTGTGACTGTGTGTGACTCACAGGTGGCAGCCAAGAGCTGGGAGAGAAAAGGAGGGCAGTGAAGATTTCTGTGGAGTGAAGTTTACAAGTGCTTTTCACTGGTTTTTGAGTCCCTCACTCAACAAAATCCATGTTGTTTATTTCTGCCTCAGCTGCGGCCAGGGAGCTCAGGTAAAAGCCTGATTTTCCTTTATTTTTAAAACTCTGGTTTTCCTTTTTTAGCCCTCACATCCAGCTCACCTAGCTAAACACTCGGCAGAAACACTCATCACGATTCAGATGTCCCTCGAAACAAAAGGCAAGGCAAGCCCAGCCCATGTGAAAACCTTCAATCTTAAAAAAAAAAAAAAAAAAAAGCAGACTTGAAATTTTTAAGAGGGGAAAGATGGATGAAAAAAAAAGGTAAATCTTACACTGAAAATAAAGAAATGCGTCTCAATTGTCTCTGTCTTGTCGAGAGGCAAAATGTAGACACAGACTCCTTCTTCCCCTCTCCAAAGTTTCTCCTTAACAGGACCAGCTTCCAGCAGCACTGGCAATCATTCTGCCCCACTCAGTGTCCCTGGGGGGATCACCCACTGTGCTGAGAAAGCAGCCAGGCAGCCCAGGCTTGGCAGCACCGTACCTGTGCCTGCACAGCACGTAGCCCCTGCCTGGACCCCTGCGCCTCTCCCCAGAGCCAGGGGTAAGCAGGGCTCAGGACCCAGCGCTGCCAACCGTGCCAGGACTGCTGCCCCACGAGGCCCATTAGCTCCGACGCAATTAGCAGTTGCCCCAGGACTTGGCCACCTCCAGGCTGCAGAGGGCACAGGCTACCACTCAAGTTGTACTGACATTAAGGTTCCCCAAATACTTATCTTCAGGCCCCATTTCCCCCGCCAGAGTCCTGTCCTGACATCTACACATGATGCAGTTTGGGGGCTGTGTGTATTTTAAAACAGAGGATTGGGATTTGCAGAACAAAGCCCAATCCAACAGTCCTGGGTCCCTGTCTCCTCCTGACAGCGGCACTTTGTTTTGTTTGGCAGATTTTGCCGCCTGAGTTTCAATAAAGACGTTCTCAGTCTCCTTCATGGACATGATCCCAGCAAGAGCCCCTGGGCCTGGCAGGCAGGGCAGGGCACAACGCGCAGTGACGTCCTGAAGCGGCTGAGGGAGCTTCGTTAACCCTAGCAGATGCCACCCGAGTGTGCTCAGAGCAACTGGGCACTGGCTCGAAACAGGCTGATTTGTCGTGCGATCCCCTCCCTCTCCACAGTCCCTCCATGGCAAAGCCAAGCTGCCAGACCTCCCCGCAGAGGAAGGAAACAGCTTTCTCTCAGCCCCTTGCAGTGCAAAACACACAGGTTAAAATATTTTCCTTTTGCTGTGTAGAATAAGGATGGCTTCCCCTGCAAATGAAGTGGCTGTGGTGCAGGGAGGAGTGAGGGAAAAGCAACTGCAAATGAAACTTCTCCATCGCAGCCTGGAAAATGCCATAAGGGGCCTAAATAGATTTAAGTTATGGCCTCAGAGAATTCACCTGTCTTAAGGGCGCAGCAAAAAGCAGGGTCCCGAGCTGCAAACGACCATTGCAGCACAGAGTAGGGGCTTCACGCGAACCACAGCAGTACCTCTTCCAACTGCCTCCATCAGTCCTCTCCTAGGAGAGCCGGGGTCGAGCCTCCCCCTGCCCCTGGAGCACTGCCCATCCCCTCCCGGCACCCCTCTCCTCTCCAGGGCCACTGACCTGCGAGAAGAGGAGGTATCCGCACTCATCACATGGCAGCATGTCATCCACCAGCACTGTGGTCCACGTGCCGTCCTTGCACAGCCGCACCTGGTAGGCACCCTCGGGACACAGCGTCCTCGTGATCATCACCCTCTCCACCAGCTCCGGCCGCTCGGCCAGCACAGCCAGGGCGCTCAGGAACCTGCCGGCAGGACGGGACGTGGGACGGTCTCAGCGGGGCACGGGCAGGCAGCAGGCAGCTGCCCAGCCGTGCAGAACAGGGGACTGCGGTCCGCAGCCGCTTGGTAAGGGGTGAGGCAGAGGATGGGGTACACTCCTGGGGGTATAAATGGGTTTGAGTAGGGCTGAGAGGTCTGATCTGGAGCTGAATGAAGTGGGGGGAAAGGAGGAAGGGGCAGGAGAGTGTCAGCCCAGCTCACTCCCCCTTACCAGCAGTTTCCCAGCAGTCCCTGCAGGATATCCGAGGGCCTGGGTGTCCGAAACACTGACCACTTCACAGATCGGTCCTTGAAGATGCTACAGTTGATTTCGTGGGGTCGCAGCCACTGTTTCACCCTCTGCTGCACGCTGTCGCCTTCCGGGAATCCCACAGACTTAGGCCCAGGGTGGAAACTGTCATCTACAAAATTGACTTTGTTCTGCGAGAGTGAAAGGCAAGGAGAGCATCAGTGTGCAGCTGTGCAGCACACAGCTGGACGGGGCTGGCCTGGAAAGCCTCCCACTGCACCCCCAGGAGTGAGAGCGGAGCCCCCAGCCCGCCTGCCAGGCCTGGGCAGCCCCTTCTGATGCCGTGCCAGGGAGCAGGTCTGGGACTGGGTGTCTGCTGGCAATGGCACAGATGCATTTTGTGCATCAGGTCCAGCGTTCAGCCCTGCCATGAGCTGGCTCACCTCTCCGGGCACCAAGCTCTGGACTGCGACTCAAATCTGCCTTTTCTCATTTCACAGGAACCTCCCCGGGCAGGGACCGTCTCACACTTTGTACCGGTGCTAAAAGCTGGACCGTGGGGGACCTTGGCTGCCTCTCTAAGTGGCAAAGCATGTGAGCAGCAAGCCTGTGAGGAGCCACCTGGCAAGCAAATGCTCCTCAACCCAAGCCCCGTGCTAAGGGCTGAGCTACCCCCGCACTGGAGGGGACATGCTGGGCTTGGCAGTCCTGTGCCATCCCCGAGATACAGCCATGGAGGATGTTAGGGACACCTTTCGCAATTGGATTCAGCCCAACCACAAATAGGCAAGCAATTCCAGAGTGAGTGTATCCCGTGTCTAAGCCCACCTGCAATAGCTGCTTGCATTAAATAAAATAGGATGGACTGAAGGGCAGATAATCCCATAGGTATTAGCCATAGAGGCAGGATGGAAGCACAGAACTTCACCAAGGGGAGAAGGGCAGCTTTTTGAGACAGCTTAACACAGGGTGAAATAAGAACCAGGATTTCTTTTTGTTATTGTTAATTAAGTGAAATTAAATTCTTTCAGCAAAAGCCAGCTCTGATTTGAATTAGCTTTTATGCACACCAAACTAGTAGTTGTCCTTCCTCTTTTGTTGCAATCCTATGTGAACGCTTTCTACATGGTGCCTCAATTAGCACTTTCAGCTTCTCTTTTGTAGAAGGATGTTTTTCAGCTAATAGATGTCACTGTCCAAATACCACTGTGGGCCAAAAAGGACATGTCCCAGGGCTTGCTGGCTTTCTCAAGGGGAGCATCTGGACTGTGCAGCTGACAAGCAGCCACCTCTGCCATATCAGCCAGCAACCTCACCTTGACACATCCTGGCCTCACAAGCTCACCTCTTGGGGTGCAGCTGGGGCTCCCCAGGAACCCACCGTGCAGGGCAGTGTGGACACAGAGCAAGGCAGCAGTCTGTGAGTCAGAGCCTGTGGGCATCACAAGCTTTCTGTCCCCTGTGGAGTTGCTGCAATGCTTTTCCAAGTAGCAGAACTGGAAAAAACCTTCAGCCTCCCCAGTATCATGGCCAGGGTCTCACCAGGGCCAGGACAGCACTCAGCAGGACTGCAGGAGCCTGAACACAAGCCCACAGACCTCACCAGCACTGATGATGGATGCAATGCAAGAGCCATAGCAGTGCAATTCCCCAGCAGCGTCAGGAAAGCCTGCCTAACAAGCTAATTACCTTTATACCATGATGCCTCTCTTCACATATTTCTAAATGCTTTAGAGAAGTTGTCACTACCAATATCCCTGGAGATGGAGGGAAAGAGAGGTACAAGAGCTGCAGGGGCAGCATCAGAGCAGCAGGGAGAGGAGCAGGTAACTCGTCTCATGCCTGAGCAGCAATAAGCCTGCTCACAGATGGTGCCAGACGAGCAGCCCTGCTTATTTCTCCTGCAAGGTGATAAATCTGGGCATCGGACCTCCTTCACTCTTCCTGCTATGCCAACAACCCCCTTCATGCCGTTCTGGACCAGAGACGTGACCTTCTCCGCTGCCACCTCCCCAGGACTTACTGCTGGCTTAGCAAGCTGAACAGGCTCAGCCAAAGCTCCGACCGAGAGCTGTGCTGGCTGCGGCAAGGCAGACTCCCCTTCTTGGCAGCGGCAAGCTGCTAATTCAACTTGTCCATCTCATAATTCATCCTTCAAGCCCGATTCCACCGGAGGTAACAGATGTTCCCTGCCTACAAAAGAGGCTATTCACTTGCTTAAAAGAGGGGGATAAGCAGAATCAGGGTCTCTCTGCTATAAAGACACTCACATCTGCTAGGAGGGACACATAGCAATTAATAAAACCCACAACCCCAAAACAGGATCATTCTTAACAGCTCCCTCCCAAGCCAAACACCTCTGTGGTCCCCAGTCTGTGCAGCAGAGGCACAGGCATGGACGCACTTCTCGGCCCAAGCAGAAAAAGCCTTGTCTCTACGTCAAAATGGGACTGCAACTCCCTTTCCATCTGGTCCAGAAGAGCTGGAGGCTTCCCCCAGAAGGAGGGCAGAGAAAGAGCAGCATTCACAAGAGCATCTTACGCCACTCAGGGAAAAAAATGGGGCCACCACAGCACTGTTTGAGACTGAAACCCAACAGATCAAGCCAGATAATTCACAGTGGAAGGGTAGGGTGATAGCATGTGCTCCTGAGACCCTTACCTGGAGCCAGGGTACAGCTAAACCTCAGCTGTCCCTCCCAAAACAGGGGCAAGCCATTTGCAGCTGCAGCTGTGCATTCACAAACACCAAAACCAAGAACACCAAGGCCCAGCTCACAGTTCTTGAACACTTGCAGTTGCTCGCAGTGCCAGCAGTTCCTCTGCCCACACCCCTGCCGGTGCTCTTGAGCCTCTGTCTGCTGTGTCCCCAGATTTCCTGTACCCACACATGTCGCAGCTGCTGCCCACAGACAGTGGTGCCACCAGCAAACCTGGACACACTCTCCCAGCCTTCCCTACCCTTGGACAGGGAAAGAGCTGTATTGACCACCTAAGAATGTCCCCTTCAACCCAGATGTTCTCTCTTGCTGATTTAAAATATCACTAGGTTTCAGAGTTAACATTCAGACTTCCTCACCCTTGGGAGTGAACTGGATGGACCACCTTCACCCTAGAGATTATCTTGCACCAATTAAAAATACTACATTTCAGTGTTAACAGCCAGCATCCAGCTGCTGCAGGTGAAGACCTTCTCTGGGACCTAAGATACAGAAGGCAGCTTGCCTGTGCCAAGCGATGCCCTAGACCCGTGGGGAGGTGTGAAGAGGGCCCCCTCCAAGTGAAACCAGGAGCAAGACTAGTTCAGCAAGCACTCACCTCCCGGCAGAAGGTCACGATGTTTTCCCACAGGGCTTTGGCCTCTCCCTCATCCGTCTGCCGCCTCTTCTCCACGTGCATGCTCTCCCGTCTCTTCAGGGGCTTGAGGCCCTTGCGCTGGGCCATGTACTGCTGCGGGGTATGGCAGGCCACGCAGTGCTTGGCCTTGAGCTCATTGAGCAAGGTGCAAGCGGGACAAGCCCACTGGCTCGGCCTCTCCTGGCTGGTGGGCAGCTGGGACGGGAAGAGGCGGGCAACCTTGCGGGCGGACGGGGCCCTGCCACCACATGAGGAGCAGCTGCCCTTGTCGCAAGCCCCACAGTCGGGGCAGCGGGGGGACGGCTCGCCCTGTGTCCCATGCTCCTGGAAGCCATGCAGCTTGGAGGAGCCGCAGGCTTTACACTTCTGGGCCAGGGTGGGGTTCTTGAGGGTGCACTTGGAACAGGACCAGGTGGTGAAGTCAGGGCTGGAGGGGCTGCACGGGGTGAATCTCACTGAGTCCCCCACCAGATTGATGGTGTCACTGCCTTTCTGGGTGCTGCAAGCCTCGCATTTGCTGGCTCCGGCGGAGTTAAGCAAGGAGCAAGAGCTGCACTTCCAGTGGGATGGACTGACCTCCATCTCCTCCTCCAGCACGCTCAGCCGCTTGTTGGACAGCAGCTCCTGGAAGCGGGCAGCCGGGGCAGCTCTGGCCTGACCCTGTGGAGAGCCCTTCTGCCCTGCTGTGCTCTGAGCCACAGGCTGGGAGGCTTCAGGCCCCGGCATCTGCAGCTGGGGGGGCACCTCCCGGCGGCTTCGGGGCACAGGGTTGTTCTGGAGCCCCGGGGAGAAGGGACTGAAGGCTGGTATCTTCTGGGCCTCTTGTTCCATAGCCACTGGGCCCTGGGTAGCCAGGGCGTCACCATCAGAGATCTCTGCAGAGACTAAAGGCTGCGGGGTAGAGGGGGCCATGTGAAATCCAGCAGGGGTGATGACTTCAGGGACGACCAGCGCCTCTGGTGGGATCTTGGGCAGGGAGAGCTTGCGTGGGCCACCACAGGCAGAGCAGGAGTTGGCCACTGGCGTGTTGTGCAGTGTGCAGCGCTGGCAAGCCCAGCCACTCTCCAGCTCCGCTTCATCAGGGCTCTTCCCCTCTGAGTCCTCGCTGCTGCTTTCTGCCTTGGCAGCCTCCTCCTTGGACGTGCCCTTGGGCTCCACAAGCACGGCGGGCTTGGGCAAAATGCCATTGATGACGGGTAAAGGGGAGCCGCTGGGCCCTGGCTCTGGGGTGAAGCCACATACCTCGCAGGTTTCCTTGCCCAGAAAGTTCCTGAAGGTGCAGCGGGCACAAGCCCATTTCTGTTCCTCCACGCTGAGCCGCAGGATGTGGTTGAGGTCAGGCTTCTGGCGGGGGGCTTCGCATATGGAGCACTGCCGCTGGCCGACGGGGTTCAGAAAGGTGCAGCGGGTGCAGGACCATTCGCGGACAGCAGCCATGGAGCCGGGAGAGTGGGAGTGGCTGGAAGAAAACAGAAGACAGCATGAGGCCAGGCTACCCAGTACGCAGGGGCACCATGCGTTTCCTGGGCTGGCATGGTCAGGACCTTGCTTCCAGAAGAATACAACCGGCAATCCAGTCATTGCTCTCGAGGCACTTGTTCGTCTGGCACCGACAACCGATTTCTCCAAGTACAGGGCAATGCACTGGCTTCTACCCAAAACACTTCAGGAAGGGCACAAGAAACAGTCCCGCAACCCCACCGACCCCGCTGTCATGGCGGGGATGCACCTCGGCGAGCAAGCACACTGCCTCTGCACCTAATCTCGATAATTTTGTACATCTGCAGCTTGTTTGTAACTCTCTGGATGAGGTGACACCCTGCTCTGCCTTCTTGCTGTTCCCAAGGTCAATTCTTTCTCTTTCGGTGTCACTCTGGCCCACCTCTGTTTCATTTTCTGTTCCTGTCTCTCTCCTCTCCTTTTGGCTTGCCACCATGGGTACACAACTTATCCACACTGGGATAACTGTGTTATCCCACCCCAGACACCACCAAGCAAAGAAAAGCAGGTTGTGATGTATGGTGGTGCTGGCTATGGGCTTTGGGGACAGAAGCCTGGCCCAGCCAGCCTGTGAGCAGTAGCCCTGTGCCAGAGCCAAAGTAAGTCATGGTGCACCAGTGCCGGCACAGCTCACCAGCAGGTTCTGAGCTCTGCAGAGCGAGGCACCGTGTCCCAGCTCCAGCTCCTGCCCTGCTTACCTGGGAAGCAGAGGGGCCACAGAGCCCTGTCGTCAGCAGCAGTCCTCAGTTTCAACCTCCAGTGTTGCCTGCGAATGCCTGAAACCCTGATGGGGAATGGGGCAACGCATGCCAGAGCCACCTCGTTCCAGGGCAGAAAGTCGTAATAAAGTTTTCCAGGCAGCTTCAATTTTCAGAAAGTGAAGCACAGCAGCAGCACCAGCTCCACAGGCCATGGCAACCTCTGGGCTTGCAGGGAGCAGCTCTCCCTCACCGCGGCCCTCCTAGTGCTTTCAGGAAGGCGATGCCCTGCTTGCACGCATGCTGACAAACAGCAGAAGGAATCCCAGCCCTGTGTGGTGCCCTTTATCCCCTGCTCAGGGTCATTTCCTGGAGCTTTGAGCAAAGGTGGGGCTGAAACAGAGCTTTCTGCTTCCTCCTCCTTCACACAAGGACAAAACAGTTGTCCTTCAGGTAAATCTGCAGCATGAGCCCAGAGCCCTCTCTCCGTGCACTCCTGCTCCCAGATAACACAGCCAAGTCTAAAGCCCCAACCTTGAACCCAAGCTCCAGGCCAGCCATGCCTTTCTCCAGCTGAGCTGGTCCCTTTCCAACCCCTTCCACCCTGCCCTGCTTGCCCAAGACCCCGGGCAGGGCCAACTCTACAGGAGAAGCCTCTGAGACAGGCACCCAGACCAAGGAATGAACACTCTAAATCATGGGAGCTGCAATCCAGCGGGCTCACTGCTGGCTCCCTCTCAAGCATCCCTTCAACAAGCAAGTTCAACTGCAACACCGGCTGGAACAAAGAGAGGATAGAAGATGTTTTATGCCATAGAAAGCAGGCACAGAAAGCTATGAGACGCCGGTCCAGTCCGTGGAGGGAACCGGATCCTGGCTGGTCTCCAGCATCCCAAGCAGCAGCACCTGCACAACAGCTTCCGAAGGCAGCTGAGCAGACTGCATTGCAGCAGCAGGGGTCTTGAGGGGACAGAGGATGCAGCAAGAACCACCCTGGGGAGGAGGAGAGTGACCCTCCGTTTGGCTGGGTACACAAGAAACTCTCCTGGGAATACTCCAGCAGCAGCAGCAGCAATCCAACCACATTTCCAGACCATGCTCCACAGCCATTGGAAGAGCAGCTCCCTCTCACAAAGAGATCAGATACAACCTTCAACTCCCTTCTTAAATCAAATGTTTCTCTAAATAAAGCCCGAACTCAAGAAATCCATTTTATTGCAAGGGAGAGCTTGAAAATTCATTCTGGTTCATATACCATGCCTTCATAGTTTGAACTTTACAAGGTATTTATTTACTGGAGTTATTTAAGGAATCTTTCCCAGCTAAGAGAAATATAAACATTGATTTTTCTGCCTGAAGTCCTACAGCTTTGAGCCACTATACAATCCTCTCCCCTTTGGCAGCACCATGCCCACAGCTGTCTGAAAGGGAGATCACTCCCCAAACAGCAAAAGGGAATGAGCTGCATGCCCAGCTCCAGTAAAGGCAGGGAAGCAAATGGGGCCATGAAGGGCACAGTGATCCTGTCACATCCATTCGTCTTACTGGATGAGGTTCCTCAAACCCCAGGCATCAGCAAAAGGCAAGCAAAGGCTGTCAGCAACCTGCGCCATGCACGTCCGTCCTCCTGCAGCGTCCCATGCTGTTACCCACCATACACTGTGCTGGAGAGCACTGGCTCCAGAAAATCCACATCTAAATGCAGATGCTGCACTGCTTACTGCAGAGCAGGACCCTCCAGCCACCAATCTTCCTGCTGCACACATCACTCTTGCACCCATGGTCCTACCCAGCAGGCAAAGGCTTCTAGCCATGCAACAACAGGACCATGGAAAGAAATCACCTTGTCCCTTCCCATACCAATAGAGAGAACAGAAAAAACAAGATAACCACAAAGACAGAAGTACCACACGAGGGGACAGTGAGATGAGCTGCATTGCCAGACCTGCTTGACGCGGCATCAGCGACAAGCTGCAGGCTCAGGCAAGACAGCACCGTTTCACTTGGATGGGCAGGAGATCCAAGCTCCAGGCAGCAAGAAGGGAGGCGGAAGCCAGGACACTGCAGTGCTCTCCTCCAAGCTCCAATACTGGCCCTGGGGAGCCGCGATGCTCCCTGCTGCACTGTCCCCCTCCCAGTCCTCTCCTCTCCCCCATGCCACAGGAGTTGGCTCCCAACAGTGTTCCAGGGACACCATCCTGCCCACTGCTGGGATTTCCACTTGCTTGACTTTCTCCACTGACAGCTCTCAGGAAAACCAAAGAGCCTCCCAGAAAGGCCATCAGCTCTTCCCTCAAAGGTCTGTGGCTCCCCTTGCAGTGGCAGGGCCACCAGTGTGGCAAGCCCTGGCAGGAGACTTCCCTTCCTGCTTCTCCCCAGGATGGCTGTTGCACCATGTCACGGTGCCCAGCAGCCACACAGCTTTCCCTGCAAGCTAGTCGGAGATGCACAGAAATGGGAGAGGACATGGGACATGCATCTTCGGCTGTCCCCCACAAGCCACCGGTTCCCCAGTCTTGACAACTGGCAGTGCACCAGACTGCAGCCTGCTCCCACCAGATTCCTACCTAGGACTGATGGACAATTCAAGTCCCTGCCTGGAACACCAGACTTAATTTAAGGGTCCAAAGATCACAGAGGGCACAAGGCTGGAAGGGCAGCACTGAAGACTGGCCCTTGGTCCATCCTTACACAGTACAGCCCAGACCAGCACATGATGGGTTGTAGCAGCAGCCTTTGTCCCACACCAACACCTACCTCTCAAAAATGAATGGGCTGAAGGAGAAACCCAACCACAGCCTGTCCAAGCTCTGTAATTCTCCCTACAAAGCCTGGCTGGCTCCTTTCCCAGCAGGCAACAAGCCTGCGTGAAGAAATACAGTTGTCTCCACCATCTATTCACCAGGCCCATCTGCTGCATGATAACACACATGCTCTCCAGCCCCAGAAAACGCAACTGAGATAAACCTCGCCTGCCACCTTCCCAGACACCTGTGCAGGAGAGGAGCTCCTCTCAAAACCAGCTGCTCCACAGTGACCTGGCAAAGTCATCCACCCACAGAAGGGCTTTTCTTGGGAAGGGGACACTTTATAGGGAGCACGATGATGCAAGCTCTCAGAAGCCCAGCAGGCTGACGACAGGGATTGGCCAGAAGCTCTTTTTGGGTGCACACGGCAAGGAAAGGGCAACAGTTGTACAACCCCACACCTCCAGCAGCATGGACGGGTCTGGCCCCACATGGCCATGCTTCCCACCTCAACAGCTCTACCCAACCAAGACAGGGTGCACATCAGCTAGCAGGAGACACCACCATGTTGGCAGAACTGCACCTACCTTGGCAATCACAACAATGTAATTATAATACTTAAAAAAAGAATATAGAAGGTACTCAACCAAGTAGGCAGCTTTCAGCATGCTGATCAGATCCCAGGGAACCTCACTGCTCGCTCTGCCTTGCAAGAGTTGGGAATGCCAAAGACAGCCCACCGCCGAGGTGACAGCCTCTAGAGAGGGATGCTGGCTGGTATGCCCAGGCAGCCTTTGCAGGCAGGATCCAGCAGCAGAGCTGCCTGAAAGGTGGGTGGGTGGCTGTTTCCCTCTGGACACCGTTCCTGAGCGCACAGAGGTGGTGGGGGAAGGCTGTCACTAGGAGGGAATGGAGAGTCATTGCAGGGTCATCACTGGCCCTTTGCTTCCCTCTGATGTGTCGGAACTTTCCTCTAACCAAAGTGGGGCAGAATTGTTAGGACAAGCCAAGGAAGGGATTAAGGCAGCACCAGTTGGTCACCTCCCAAACCCACCTCAGGACAGTGATATCCCCTTCCTAGGGCTCTGCTGAGCTTGCGTGTCCTGTTGCTACAGAGCCCTGGCTCCTACACAGCCATCAAACAAGAAGGGGTCTCCACCACCTTTGGGTGTCATCTGGGACCAAAGGCTTTTCTGGAGTCTCACCAGAGCAGGGCAACACAGGAAGGAACAGGGCAGGGTGCGAGACCAAGAAGTGCCCAAAAACCTGCAGTTTGTGTCTTTCCTGCCGGCAGGGAGCTGGTGACGTGCCAAGCCTGTGTGATGTGCAGCTGAGCTCCAGGGCAAGAGATGGCAACCATCCCTGGACAGAAGCACCTTGGACTGCCAGAGCAAATGGCTCGAGGTGACCTGAGCACTGGAGCAAGAGATCCCAGGGCTCCACTGCAGAGCCCACACTGGCAACAGGATTATATGAGCTTGTGTCAATTGAACACAGCAACAGAATCAGGCTGT